TCGCCCAACTCGTCGCCCAATAAGAGACAAAAGTATTACTTTTCGCGCCGTTTTCTGGAGCCGACGGACCGCTCGAAAGGGTCGACACCTTTCGATGTGGACGACGACGTCGTGCCCGCGAGTGATGGGAAGGCTTCGGACGTGAATACCGGCGCCGAAGACAAGGCGATGGGCCGTCCGGTGTCTAACGGGGAGTGTGAGGGCACGGGTGGTTCGGGGGAGGGCTGTGGGGACAGTGATGAGCCGATTATGACGAACACAACACTAAACACATTGCGATTGTTTGGGAAATACATGCAAATGATGTCAATCTTACGGCCCATAGCTGTGGACGCAATGCTCTGTTTGTTTCAAGTGTTTGATTATTATCTCAATTCTGTGTATCAGTTGTTCGCCAAAGAGATGGTCTCTCTGTCCGACACTTCGCTCTCCAATGACATGAAAGCGCAGATCAAACGCATTGGCGATCACCTGATGGTCGACGAGAGGGCTGTCTTGGAGTCCGGTGTCGACCCGTCTGTCAGTAATAGCAGTCATAATAACAATAATAAGTATTTCCCTCCGATTCTGTCCACTGTTGTCGACATGTCTTCAGCTGAAGGTCTGTACGGTTTGGCCGAACGGGTCGTTGCCGTCGAGTCTCTGTAAGTCTGCATTTGTCTCAAGTATTTCATGTCTTATCTCAAGACCTGTTCCATTGATTACAGGGTTGTCCTCTCGACTCAATTCCAATCATTGAAGCCTTACGTCGAAGAACTTATTCCTCAGGAGAAGCGACACATTCTTCAGCAGTATTTTAATCAAGTAATGGATGAATGCATGAATTGATTGTCAATTGATTGTCTGATCCCATGATTTGACTGACAGGTGGTGTCCATAGCGAGTGATTTGCGACAACCGGTGTATATGTGGGTAACCGTCCGCTGCATACCATACGAGTCGGTAGTGGCGGCGATGGCCACCACTCAGTGGAATATACGGGACATCCTATCCCTACACAACCCATACGTCGATCAGTTGTTACGCGAACTCCAGATCTTTAGTATGCGTTTGAATGGTGTGTTTGCGAGTCGACTGAACGCACGGGTAGTCCCGCCGGAGGTCTACCGCTGTCTATGGGAACACGTGTTACGGCTGTCTTCGCGCACATTCATTGAGGGCTTCTCTGAGGCCAAGCGTTGCACTCATGAGGGCCGGGCTCTCATGCAACTCGATTTCCAGCAGTTTGTGTCCAAAGTGGAGACAATGACCACAATTAGACCCATTCCTGAGCGACAACTCGTCGATGAGTACATCAAAGCCTATTATCTCACGGAAGGCGCGCTCATTGAGTGGATTAAAGCCCGTAAAGAGTATAACCAGAAGCAGATCCACGGTTTGGTTCACTGCATGACTACTGATAACAAGAAAATGAGGGCAAGAATTGTGGCCCAAATCGGACCCAACGCCTGATTTCATGTCCAGAATCTCCGAGTGATTAGCGATTAAATAGTTTTCTGTAATTAATTGTATTTTTTTAATTGAATCGACTTTTTATGAATAAATAGATTTTTACGATTGATTTGAATTTAAGTGTTTTGTTAAACAGGTTTGTAGTGTTTTTCACGTCCTTGTAGTTGACGTACAAATAGTGGTGTTTTGTCCTCTGATCGACAAGTTTTTTAAATAAATTACAAATAATTTTAAATTAAATAAAAGTTTTTTTATTAAATATTTTGCAAATAAAATTTGTGATAAAAACAAATACCGGTATTTTTTCCAATACCTCGAACATTATAAAACCAGTTTATATTTTTAAAAATCAATTTCTATTATAATAATCTATCATCGATCTCATTAACATTGGTTACAATTACATTTTCAATAGACTTATTTAGTTATGCGATATTTGTATGTCATAACCATAATGTCTTAAGTGTTTTTAAAAAAAAGTTGAATAGTTTTAAAAATTTTGTTTTATAATAATCGAGATGATGACTAAATATATTAATGTATTGACTACGAGCGTAGCCAATAGATTGGCAACAAATTGTACAAAAGTCTGATATAAACTCAATTAAGGTAATCGTAACAAACTCCATAAATAGCTTATGAATGGTAATATTAACGTAGAAAACAATGAATACTGTATGTTGTGTTGGACAACATATTTAAATGCGATTGGTGTTTTAGTAATGTGTACTAAAATAAATACTATTATAGTTGTCATAAGTTATAGTTTGAATGAATAGTTGCGTGTAAATTGAGAACTTTTCATCAAGTATATGGTTTTTATGAGTGGCTGGTTGAGCTGAAATAGGTATATATTTCATGTGCAGTAAGCCACACAAAAATTACAATTATGGCAATGATCACCAGGCAGATTTTATGTTTTCGACAAAACCCCTTAAATCGGGTCCATAGATCGGGGCCATCCGTGTTATCCTGAGGTATGTTGAGATTGTGCTCGCAGGGGACGTTGTAGTGGATGGCGTCGCACGAGTTGTGCGTCTCGGAGGTGTCTACAATCTGGTCAAGTGATTGTGACCTATCATTAAGCTCTTGAGTACTTTGGTTACTGTCTGACTCTGATTGATAGACAAAGGGCTCGCTTTCACGTCTATTAAGTAAGGCTTCGTTTGGCACTTGGATTGTGGCTCCGTTTTGAATGTTGAACTGTGGGTTCTGTCAACACAACATCATTTTAGATGTATTTTCAATAACTTATACTTATGTCAGATAAATGAGGGGAAATGGAGTAGAAATCATTTAAAAGGCAAACTGTATTAAAACGTAGTGCCGAGTGAGTGAGTGAGTGAGAGAGAGAGAGAGAG